CTGGCCTAATGATATCCTCTTCAAGCAATTGATCAATCTCTTCTGCTGAGAGCAAGCAGCCAAAGCGGGTCTCTTCCTTTCAGTGAAGGCATGACTTGGACGTTCAAACATCTTTTGCCGTACAGTACATGTCTTAGTGAATCAAAACAATCCACCCACAAGCACAGGTTCGAGGAGCTATGCCCGTTCCATCTGCAATCTTCCGTGTCTGGGACCTGGGAGGAAGTACAAACGTGGCATTTGTGGTCCTCGAGCTGCTCCACCGTGGTGTTGCTCTCTGTCGAAAGGCGCCTCTGCTGCTCCTTGAAATAGTTGAAGGCCTGCAACTTGGCCCAAATTCAATTTCAGCAGGAAATGACAAGCGAAGCCAATTAAATAATCTGTTTGGGAGTGCGTTTTGAGGAACCTCCAGACTGTTGGGTCTTCTTGCTGGGCGAGGGAGATCATGCCAGCTGTATCGGCGCCACGAACTCAACTTACAAATAGAGTAGTCTAGCAACCATTTGACCATATGTTAAAGGATCGTACGTCTTGAATCCAAGCTACACGTGGTTCTGTGTCTCAGCACGGCCCGGCCTCCATGAAAGGGTCCGTGTCTGGGTCTCCAGCCAGGCTGCCTACATATTCCTCCTGTGGACTTGAACTCTGCATCTCTATAACACGGTTGGACCTGCAAAACCTTTTGATCAATGAATGTGTTGACGTTGACACCTTCTCATTGTGTTTAACCCATTTAAGAATATAAGCAAACATATAATCGTCCAAAGCAAACCTGAAATTATAAAATACATGTGAACTGGCCATTTGGCCTCCAACCCCACACGAAACAAACTCGTTCAACCAAATCTCCCGCGTGTTGTCAGTTAAAGATCACCAGCGCAAGGTCTAATATGAAACCACGTTCAATCTGAGGTTGCCAACCATTGCCAACATTTGCCAACCAACCTACCTCGCTGTCCTCCAAAGCGCGGGAGTTGCTGGTTTGCGAGTCCAATGAATTTTTTGAACCCCTGGCAGTTGTTCGCAACACGAATCACTTCGAAGGATTCAATCAGGAACTCTCCCTTCTTCGATACAATTTCCCTTGAAGAGGTACTTGCAGGACGTGAGGTGGGACTTTGGGCAAAAAACAATGGAAACTCCTGAACAAAGGTCCAATGTCTGCTGTTGCGAACAATTCTCACGTTCTTCTCACGTTTACAGAAGTTTGCTTTGCACATCTTTGCACCGATCTTCAGGATGTGCCTCTCTGAGCACTGCAGAACCAAATCCAACTTGCAACAGTGCAGCTGTTTTCGGTCACTGCCGACTGGGGATCCGAAAAATGACATTCCCACATGACCAGCACTCTGAGCAGTTCGACTCCACTCAGGAACTTTTTGAGGCCTCGCCTCAACGACTTCCTCAGCGGCACAAAACCCTATCAAAACCTTGAAAATGATCATGATTTGTGCCCACCTTGAGACCTGCATTTGCCCGGGTCTTGGGGGGTCGCAACCATAGTCAAAACCAATCAACGCAAAAGGTCAGCAACAAAACAACAAAAGCATCAAAACCTGTGTTTGGCTAGGGTGGCCTCCAACATGGGTCCGGTTTCTTTACCAGGACTGCTGAGCAAGCAGCATGAAAAAGTCGAAATGACACAATGATTTGCTTTTGCTTGGTTATGTGCTGATCAGAATGAAAGCATTTGATGCGAAGCTGCAATTGACTGTTGATAGGAAACTGCTTAATGCGCCTTCTTCAGTAGTATGCTTTAGATTGCTTTAGTATTGCATACTTGTTTCTCTGATCCCTCACTTGTGTGAATAGTTCTTTCATCTTTGTTTAACCAGAGGAGTAGTGCGTTGTGTGCATGCAGAAAACAACAATGTAGGAAGAGGCAAAACGGTTTCAGAAGAGGAGCAAAAACAATCGCATCAGTCTTGGAGTGGAAAAACATTGGGAAAAACACACTATCTAACAGGCCAAAGCCACAAAACATGAAATTGAAAAAACAACTCGTTGGCATAATATGGCGATAAGCCATGAAGGATAGTTATACAAGTGCCAACTGACTCCGTATTCGATTCTGGCTTGCCAGCTGGCTTAGGGCAAGTGCGTTCAGCTGTTTTTGTCCAACGCAAAGAAACTTTCCAAGAAGTGAGAGCAGGCAAGGGTACAACAACTGAATTTTTTATTAAATAAGTAGCAAATTTTTTTGGGGATATCACCCTTTTGACAAGGCCGTTGGGTGCAGTCTTGGCTTCTTGGCAACAATAGACCGTAAATAGGCACCTAAAGGTCTCTCATACACGACGTTCATGTCCCAGTGGCGAATCAGCCCAGCTCGCCAAGGAAAAGGTCGCCCTCCTTGGGTGCAGTGCGCAAAATGAGGGTGCCAAATGAGTCAGGAGTTTCATCCGCTCAGTCTTCTCTCGGCTCATTATCGGTGCTGGCACTGCAACTTCGATCGTTCCCGAGCGACAAATCCCTTCTTGCTACTAGTAGTAATGGCCTCCAACCTAGTAGCGATGGCCTCCAACCTACTAGCTTCTTTGCTACTAGTAGCTACTTGCTCCTAGTAGTACGGCCAGGAGCCCCTAGTAGCGTCCTTGTTCCTAGTAGCGATGCCAGGAGCCCCTAGTAGCTTCTTGCTACTAGCAATCCCTTCTTGCTACTAGTAGTGCGTTTGCTCACGAACGTAGCGATGCCCTGGTGCCCAGCGACAAATCCCTCCGCTCGGACGAGGCGTTGCTGAAGTTGGAGCCACGCAGGTTGGGCTTCGGCGACTTGGGCGATTTGGGCGACTTGCTGGGCGACTTGGGCGAGCGCCGGGGCAGCGAGCCTCCGGGTCGGTCTAGGCAGATCTGGAAGGGTTTGAGGGGGCCAGGAAGTGGGGGTTAAACATGGAAAGGACAAGTGAACTCTGCTCCCGACAAATTTAGTGAGTCCGCTCCCGACAAAGCAATGAGATATTCAGGAAGTGCTGTACCATGCTGTACCTGTCATCGTCACATATGCTCGTTCATGCTGTTTGGGTACGTGTTTGCAATGACACCATGACACCACATCTCACCACATCTCACCACTGCACGGCTGCACCTACTAGGAACAAAGGGCATCGCTACTAGTAGCAAGGACGCTACTAGTAGCAAGGCGCCCTACTACTAGTAAAAAGAAGCTACTAGCGATGCCCTTGTTACTAGTATTGCCGCCTGTGGACTGGGGAGACTTTTGAAGCTCTGCAGCCATTGGCTCAAGCGTGGTCGCGGTAGTCAGTCATGCACAACTCTCTACATAAAGGCGTGCAGCGGCTGTCTGTTTTTAGGTTGGAGGCCATCATGCATCGCTATTAATACTGTTAGGTTAGACTCCTACAAGACGCCTGGGCGGGGTGCCGTTTAAGCTCTATGACAGGGAAAACATTGAAGAACTGCCTCAATTGGCGCGGTCGTTCTTGTGTATTTTTATAGTTGTCGGAGTATGGCTATTGAGTAGTTAAGGAGTTTCCTATTGATGCATTCATGAAGTCCTATTTTCACAGCTGTCTTGGTATCGAAAGGTTGGCCTACCATGCAGAAAACATCCAACATATGTTCGGCTCAGAACTTTTGGCTTCATCTGGGCCCGTATTGCTTTTCCAAAGTCCAGGTACCATAAGAATCATTAATAAAGCAATCTCTTGGAGACCATTGACAGCACTCTCACAAAGGATCATCCTATCCGAGTTCATTCCGGCTTGCTTGTTATCTTCCTCACAGTACTTGATGATGCTTGTTCATAATCCCTGCCAAGGCTACTGTAGCTGAGCTTCAATTCAATACCGTGTCACACAAAAACACCGCGAGAGAAGAGGAATGTTCCTGCAGCGTCTATCTCACTTGGTTTCTTTTCTTCGCTTCAAAGGTTCTTAGCTGCCGGAGGAAGCCGGCCTTGGGGTCAAAATGCTCCAAACAACGCAAACACATGGTGCTTGAGAAATTGACAACTGACACATACATAAGACTAGAGCTTCAATCCGCCAAGATTTCTGGCAGAAATGGAAACAAGGCCTGTCCAGCAGTTCTTCCCTTCAATTGTTTCCAGGCTGTTACAAGTAGGGACTTAGGGATTGGTCCAAATTGCGCTTCCACAATCAGACCTAGTGACCTAGTGAGCCTGTGTTGAAACTGGGAAACCCAAAAATCGGATGACGGATACGAGGATCCAGACTCACCCGGTCGACCGGCCAAACCGCATTTCATCCCGAGATCGCTTGTCCCGAGGTGTGTGCTCCCCACGCATTTCATCCCATATTTGCACACTTCCCCAACCACTTGGAACATGAATTTATATGCGCTTTCTTGTCCGAATACATCGGCTTGAAGGGTCCGTCCGAGATTCTGCCCTTCTAAAGTTCTCAATGCTGTTTTGCCTTCCATCCGCCTTCAAGACGTGGCACATGTTGGTCGCTAAAGTAATTGTTCTTCCATCCCTGCATGCCATCGTCATCTCTGTGTGCATTAATATATTTTTCTTTCTATTATGATCATTATACCTCCTGCCTTAGGGGGCGGGGATCTACCCCCTACCCTGGATTAATTAATTTTATGAATCCGGGGTACCTCCACTATTTAATCCTGAGCTGCTCTAGGTCTGGATTAGGAAATTAACATCTTTTTAATCAGAGGGGTCTTAGTCTCAACAAGATCGTAAGCAAAAATGACAAGGGGGGTCCACCTATTTAATCCTGAGGGCCTCCACCTAATTAATCTGCAAGTTTTCAGAAGTCAGCCATAGGGTGGTTCACCACTCACATACCCTTGGATTCATTTCACACCTTTTTGCTCTTTCTCTTCGGCCTCCTCACTCTATTCCGCATTCCGGTACGCTGTGCAGCTGACCCCTCCAGACTGAACAGCACAAAAATCACAAAATTAATCCACAGGTAGTTGAGTTCTTGCTATCCTTCAAGTTTATTTATATATCCACTTTCTGCTTCCCCCCCCCTTTTTGTATAATTAATCCATACCATGGACAGCTAATTAATCCAACAACCTTGTTTTAAAATGTTTGATGACTTCTTGGTGGTCGACCCCCTCAAGATTTTTATATGAAATTGGGAAATTAATCCAAATAATGAATCCCAGAACTCAGGGGGGCCTTGGGCGCATTTCCTAAGGATGCAGGTATTGATCATTCTATCTTTCTAAACATATAGTGAAATAGAACATGCACATATCTTTGGACAAAAATACACTCTGCGAGTGCTTCGTCCAACTCCAACACACCACAGACCCTCCTCTGCTCTGCTCCCCACACAACACGCCGAGACCCCTGCGTTCGGACGACACGGAACGCCGCTGGTCCCGCGCAGATCGCGCAGCCGCTGCAGCGCAGAGTCCAGGGTGAAGCCCTCGAACCTGGTGATAGCAAATGGTCAAAGGCCCCAAAGGTTACAGTAGGTCCTAGTAGGTTTGTCAAAACTCAAAACGGAGCTGAATGCGATTCAACGAATGGAGATCAACAGAGATCATCCAACGTCTGGAAGGATTCCAAACTGTGCTTCCCAGCCAAAAGGCGTTCATAGATGGTCAGAGATGGTCGGAGATGGTCAGAGATGGTCGGAGGGTCAAACACAAGGACAGGTGGCTGATAGCACACGAGCAAGGCCAGGCACTTTCTCTTTGCTGACTAATGAATGGCTACGAAGCCCCAAACTGAAGCTCATGGTTCCAAAATCACCACCAACAAGAAACAAGCCACCCCCAGCGGGGCATCTTGAATAGCCCACGAGTGGCCTGATCAAGTATGCTGCAACCACTGCCACGGACCTGTGACAATGTAAGGCACGGCCAAGGAATACTTTGGGCATCATCAGCGTTGTTCTAGGACTTTGCGATACTGGCCATACTCTGCCTATTGCGACTGACTGACTGGTGACTAGTGAGACAAGTGGTGTCGCTTGTCGCTGACAGAGCCTGGCCTGGAGGCCCCCTCCCGACAGTGCACAAGGACACGAACATGCTGACCTGAGAGGTGCGGAGCTTCGTTGTATAGACCCAACACACAAATACAAACCAAAAAGAAACCGGTGTCCTTTTATAAAAAGCCCGTTCAGAGCCATACTTAATTAAGTAGGCACCTAATAAGTAAGGGAGAAGTTCGCTCCTAGCTAAGTAAGCTATACTATACTGTCTGGACGCAGGATAGCTCACGCTTCTTCAAGGAAGCCTTCGGGGGAGCTTCCTTGAAGAAGCGCTCGCACTAATGATTTACCTGGCAATACCACCGTGGTTTGAACATGATGCATGACGGCCTTCAAACTTGTACAGTACCTGTGTGGCTAAAGAAAACACTGCAAAGGAAGTCTTCCTGTCTGCACCTGTCTGCCAAAGCCAAGATTTATGCAATCCTTGTCCTTGTCCTTGGATTGGGCTTGTTGCACCCCGAACCGTCCGATGTTGAGTTCGCCACCGATGCTGGGCGTCAGAGCTCCATGGATGAAGGCCAACCTGAAGAAGCACTCTTCAGCCCCTCCGAGCGCCGAAGAAAACTCCACTTAACAAGGACCATGGACATGTCGATATGGAAACAACTAATAGGCTACTATGAGCAACGACGCTACTAGGGGCTCCTGAGGTTAACAAACTACATGTTCCATGTTCCATGATGTTTCATCATGTGGCTTCACTTTGCTTTAGGAACTAATTTAGGTGCCTAGTCGAGGTTCACTTCAGCCAAGATGCCCAGGATCGAGGAAGTCAAGCAGGTTTTCTGATCGACTGTCCTTTTCGGGTCCAATCTCGGTCGAATCGAATCCTCATCCCACTCGGATCCCATAGGCCATAGGCACTAATCTCAACAGAACAGTAAATCCGCCGGTCGCATGTGTCGAGTAACTCTGAACCGGTAACTGTTCGGAAGTCCAACTGCAAACAACTGCTATTGGGTTGGAGGCCGTTTCCCCCATGTTCCCTCCAAAAGCCTTCCAAATGCCATGCCGATAGAGGAATTCCACGCGACGTTAAAGAATTTACTGCCATGCACTCTCGTACGTGGTCGGACTGCTTGCGTCAGCCAACTCTCCATATTTCTGCTCCTCGATGGGGATCTGATGGTATAAAAATTCATCCTCGAAGAAATTTGACACCTTGGAAGCTGTTGCATGATAGCCGGGTGAACCAAAGATTTGTGCGAAGATCAAGGTGTTTTCCCCCCAAGAGGAAGCTGGCATTGATATTTTTTCGAGAGAAGCATTCTCACTCTGCCTAGTCAATGACCCTGTCGATGGCCAAGGCCAGGGCATTTGTCACGTTGACGATGTGTGTGATTTTCAGCTGCCTAGACAGCCGGTCATAGCTGGTCTTCATCGAAGCGTCTTTCACAACTTTCACACATGTGAAGTCACATGAAGCATCCAGATCGGTCCGACAAACTTCTTGTTAGTAGTAGCAAGGCCAGGAGCTACTAGTAGTGTTTTGGTCTGCCTACAAGATCAACAAGCCAAACGCATGGCGCAGCATCGCGCAGCGGTTGACAACGACTCTCTGAGACGGCTGGTCAGGGCCACCAACCCCGCCTCAGCAAGGGCAAGCTCTTCGCGATGTCCAGTCCGCCTGGGTTGAGTTGATGAAACCCCGTGGTTCGCTATGTATCATCATTCATCATCCAGTTCCAAATGTGTTTCAGCTTCCAGGACAAACGTCCTCATCTCACACCATGACATGGATTAGAACACCTGTCCCATCACCACACTGATGTTTTTCAGCTTCGAGTGGCTGATCCAAAGCCCTGGCTGCACCTGGAACATGGGGCGGTGGAACAGGTGGGCGCTTCAAACTCCCAAGCTCTTCGATCGCTTGAGAAGATTTCATTAGATCATATTAGATCGCAAGATCAGGGCTGCTCATAGGAGTTCCAGCAAGTTGGAGATCAACATCTATGATTCGGTCTATGATCATCTAGCTAGAGCTGATGCATGCTACCTAGGTTTCTCTTCTCTGCTAAAGGTGTTAGTGTAGTGTATTGGCTCTGGCCAGTACCAAACAAAGGCAGCACTGTGTGAGATTCTGTTTTCTGTTCATGCCGAATGTATGAATGTCAGTGTCCAAGGAGCAACAATCAAATGATGTAGGCGGCTTAAACAACACTACCAAAAAATGTAGACACTTGCCAGCACCAGTAGCTTCTTCATAACTTCCTGAAGCAAAGGTGAGCCAAAAGGGAACCCATTCTAGCATGGGCCATCAAAAAAGTTTTCGTCCCAAGAATCTGTTTGATGTTGATCTTCCAACACCCCATCTTGACGGTCCACGCCTCCTCTGCCCTGCACTCCCGCGGCTTATGCCGCGTCACTGGTCGATTGGGACACACTTGTGCATCCAAGGGTGGGTCTTCGCCCGGTTCCCAGCTAGACCTGAGTGACCACAATGGGCCATCAAACAGGCCCTGCAACCCCTACAGTAGGTTACAATATACACAAACACAACAGTCTCCGATTATTTTCTCAATTTTCACTGATGTCTTCATACGTACCTTACATGTATCGCTGCTCTTCGAGGCTTCAAAAGTGAACGCTTGACACTCCATCGACAGCTGTGGCCGCCCACTGCCCATTGAAACCTTGAAAAACCATGGGGGGATCCTTACGTGGCCTTCCTATGTGAAGTGCCAGTTGCCTCACCGAGTGCGCTGGCAACTGGGCAGTCCAACCATCCACCACCCTCAGAGACGAAGAACCTGGGCGTGACAGGTTACAAGCCCAGAACACTCCCTTCTTGGATGTGTATATTTTCTTAGCCTCAAGGGGGGTAGGCCGCTAGTAACTAGCATAGGGAAGAGGTAGTTAGCTAGGTAGCCAGGGCTAGTACCTACAAGTAAGCTTCTAGGTATAGGACGCCACTACCTTGGACGCAGGATAGCTCACGCTTCTTCAAGGAAGCTCCCCACCTGAGGGCGGGGGGCAGCTTCCTTGAAGAAGCGCTCGCACTATTCATTTGGTTCCGATCTTTTTTGGCTTTTTAGGGAAACTTGACATTCAAACCAAATGAACCATTCAAACCAATTGAGCAAGCGATCCCTGAAACCCATGGTCACATCGTCCTAAACATCTATTTTATTCTCTACATCGGTTTACAGTTCAAGTCTGGTTCTTGATCCAACAATAGCTCTGTGGCAAAAAGGGTACTTAATCCTATGACTCTATGACCAAACCACCGCGGTGAATTGAAAGGCGCGGTTGGTCATTGGTAAGCGAAAGCTCTTGCACCACAAGAACTATGAGACTTTACTCTATGTCAAGATACTTGTTATTACAATTTTAAGACGGGATTAAATGGGACTGGACTCAGACTCAGCACCCGATTAAGTTGGCATGTCTAAATTAGATGGATGTAGCAGGTCTTTGTGCATCATCAAGTACCATCCTTTCCTAAAATATCCAAAATAGTAAAACTCCTCGATGAACTACAAATGGCATCAAATATATAGCAGCAGCTTCGATCCATGGGTATAGGAACAAGGACGCTATTAGGAACAAAGGGCACCGGGCATCGCTAGGGGCTCTTGGCCTTACTACTAGGAGCAAGAGGACGCTACTAGGAACAAAGGGCATCGCTACTAGGAGCAGCAGCTTCGACCCATGGGTAGTGCAGCCAAGGAGCAAGTTTAGGAATTGCATGAGGCGTCGAGGTACGCGGCAGTGCGGATGGTAGCACTGAACCTGAGACGAACTGAAGGAGCGCCACCCAGCGAGGTGCAAGGATTGCGTTGGCAGATTTAACGCCTTGAACGAACGCATGCTACCGACCTGGGGAAGGTAATTCTATTATATTGGACAATAAATGGGCTACTTGCACTGTCACGCGGTATACACGGAGCATTGCTTCTGGACCCACATTCACTAGCAGCTAGCAACCTTTGACAGCTTTCTCCTAAAAAATATCAGGTGATCCGATTACGAAGACCCACTTTGAAAGTCAAAGTCAACCATAGATGACATGGCTCCATCACACCTTGCCAGCCCACAGAAATTACATTTCACCAGTCTCAGTCGCAGGCGGTCACTAAACACCTGCAATGATCAGCCCGGCTTCGGCGTGCGTCGAACATTCGGAAATCACTACGTAACACTCGGGTCCACTTCACCTGTGGCCATTTTTTCCCTGATTCACAGTAGTGTGTTTTTGTTGGTTGAACTACTTGGCATGCTTTGACAAACCTGTCACTTGTTCTTTTCAAGGTATGCAACTTCTCAGGCTTTGTGCTGGAGGACACCATGTTTCAATCCTTCTGGCCCATCCGTCCTAATCGCGCAATTAACATACTAATACTAGTATCAGCAAACAACAAATAGAACATCAATAGCAGGAAGCCCTCTCTGTGGCTTTGAGCGTGATCAGGGGTATGTTCATTTCAACCCGAAAAGATTGAGCTTCAAGGCATGCCACGCCATGCCTTGCCTCCGCTGGTCGCTTTTCTCAAGCCTGGTGGGGGACAAACCGAGACATGGGTAGTAGGGTATGCCACATACATGGAAAGACACTTCAAAGAATGTGGAAACCATGTCTGAAACCTTGGCATTCAAGTTCGAAACCATATTACTGTAGGCACACGAGGCATACACGGTACACCTACGGAGAACAAAAAAAAAATATGAAGCTGGGAAGGTGACATCGATATGCTTCAAGTTGGCCGCCGTTGCTGCCTTTGGCCGGATACTCGACGAGGTCCCTGACCTGCATCGCCTATGCCGGACAGGACACTGAGCGATGGTCCCACGAGCCTTTGGAGATAAGAAAACATCGTGTTGAGGATGATAAAGTCATCTGAAACTCAGGACTCAGGACCATCGTTTCTGGACCTGGGCTGTTCTTGAGTCGAACTAGATACCCATTGGTATCCCCAACCACACACAACTGGCACATTCTCTGATTCGACTCTGGAAAACCATTCTATGTTCAAAAAGGTTCAAAACCAACAACATAAACATGCTAATTACCCAAAAGTAATTCTGAAGGCAGCAACCATGGAAAACACGTCGGCCAAAAATTGGTAAATGGGTCTGACATGGTCCGACGATAATCCCTATGATCTTGCGAGCGGACAAACATACTAGTCGTCTTTATAGTAGCCGCTGGCCTAAAACAACAGCAAAGTGCATCAACAAATAGTCTATCAAAAATGATCACTCAAAGAATTTTGTGCTCACAATGCACACCAAAATACACCAAAGATTCATGTTGGGAAACCTGAGGGTTCCCGGTTTGCGGAGACCGGTCCTGCTGGGGCGAAAGCAAACGGAATGCGGCCCTTGGATCAAGAATCCTGAATCCTGGCTCCGAACGAGCAATTAACTAACTTATTGATCTCTAGAAGCAGTTGCGGTAGGAACAAGAAGCTGCTAGGAGCAAAGGGCATCGCTACTAGGAGCAAGGACGCTACTAGGCGCTCCTGGCCTTACTACTAGGAACAAGAAGCGAGTTATATAAAATCGTTCTCCCATAGAACCGACACGTGCGGCCGAGTGGCCAAAAAACGCTGCCAGAGCTGCCGCCGCCACAGCGGGAGAACGATTGTCCCCACGTGTGCAATGGATGAGTACCTCAAATGCAATGGTCGTTTCTTGGTCATCTCTGTGGACATCTGCCTTCGTTTTTGTTGGCATCACTGCGCGACAGTGAAGGAGAATGGCCTGGAGTAGCCACACTTCGCAGGCTTGCATCACACAAAAAGGATCTTGCAACATGTGCACCTATTGCGAGTGATCTGCTGCTTCATGTTGGAGTTCCTCATTAAGCCAAGCATTGGTGCCCAAAGGTGTTAATAAAGCACACAATAAAGGGTCCCAAAACGATCCGATGTACTTACTGTGCGGGTTCAAACATCATATGCCTATGTATGTACAGTATTATTACTATAAATACACCGTATATATCTGCACTAAATGGCTTGCCAGCGCCTCAGCACAATATCTTCAACTCAAGGCTACGCATTTCCAGGAGCGATCCCCAAATAAACAGCCAAGCACAACCAATGTTAAACATGTCAATATGATTCAATGTGTTTGTTCTCATTTCGTTGTACATTCGAAGAACCACCATACCTTTGCACAGGCACAGCCACTTCAGCATCCACAGCTTTGGAAACACTTAAATGATTGGATGCTGTGTACTGCCTAAGCAACACACCTCTTTCAAGAGCGCACATTTTGGAAGCCAAGGTGCACGTCTCTCTTCCTCCAAGTGCCTCCGCTGACGCTGAAAAGGGCTCCATATGAAACAGTGGGAGGGAAACTGTAGAAATGTTTGACTCTGACACTTCAGACTGTCCAACCTGTGCCTGATAATATATCATATCCCCGAGTTATATATTATACATCCTAATCAAATTGTGTGCAGTATAGTTATCAACTCGCAAATTTCAAATCTATCCGAACCTGACACCTGAGGGTTACCAACCGGTGCAGTGATCTGAGTTTCTGTACCTCCAAAGGAAGCGCAAAGCCCTGGGAAGCAAAACTTCGGACCACCACTGCTTGGTGGGGTCGTGCCTTGGAATGGCTCTGGCAGGATCCACAACCACAACCACAGCTTTTTCACATTACCATTATTGGATCCCTTGAGCCAGCTAACCAATTTTGCTGTTGAAGAGTTGAAGGACTGTTTGTTCTCCGTGCTTGTTTTTGGATGGCAGGTGATGCGGCATCAGCACCACAGCCTGCATCACTTTGTTCGGTGTCTCGGCATCCGGGCTTCTTCTCATCCGCAGCAGGTAGAAAGAGATATCGTGGGTGGCCTAGTGGGAAACAGCGAAGGAGAGTACGGCTCGCGAAAGGAGCCTCAGGGTCTCCCTGAAAAAAACCAACGGCTGATTTTCTAGAACTGAAAAAGGCAATCCAAGCACTGGACCTGCGAGTCGGTGAAATTGGGGCGTTTCTCTGTATCCCAACTCGCGTGGTACAAGTGCTGTGCTTCGCCAAGAGCTGAGAAAAGTTCACTATTCCAAAAATGCATTGTGAACTGACCAACAATGCAAATGCGCGGCTTAGTCTCTCCATATCTCCATGGTGAAGAGGTGTCTTTCCGTTTTCTGAGATAGCCATTCACTGAGCGTTCATGGGCTTAATTAATCTTCGTCTTGGACCCTCAGAAGGCCGCCTCTCATCTCGGAGTGCTCTTCTCCTGGAACACTGGAGCTTCGTCTAGGAGTCTAGTCTCGGCGCACCATCATTCAATCACTATGAAATGTAGCTGTCTTCCGTGAATCAGCGCCAGTGCTCACATCTCTTGCAGTGTTGACTCCATGGCTCCGTACTGTTTCATTCCTTTCACCGAAAGGGTTGCACAATGGACAGCAACTCCTCTGTCCTCCGCAGTTCAGGACGGCATCGACTCCGTCCTCGGATCACAGTGCTCCAGTGCAAGACTATGCAAGACTCATGGGTTCTCTAGGTCCTAGACCAGACTCATGCTGGGTCCCTTCTGCAATTCATCTCTGTGATCACCTGCCGGACCGGGGAGCCAGGCCCACACCGCCGGCGGCGTGGCGGCTGCAAAGTCACCCACCACCAGGCGGGTGTCGCCCAAAATGGACACACCCTAGGGATCTTCAGAACGCCCAGGAGGAAACGCCAAAACCCCTGGACGAATCTTTGGAGACAAAGACATAATGATTTCCTGTCAAATCACCCGAGGCATCCCAACGCCAAAACCCCTTGTTTGGAACAATGGCCCAAGTCATGGTTCTAGAATTAAAACGCCGAGCTACAGGCTATAGACTATTTGCGGCCATATGGCCCATAGGATGCGCCAATCGAATCAATCATCACAATCATAATCCTCACTGATTGTTTCAAAGCAGTGAACCGCAGTGAACTGGGAGCCACAAGCAATGCACCTGGAGAAGTAGTGGCAGTGGAGCAATGGTTTTTCGTGCTGAGCAGCACACGCCTCCATCTTCTATCTTCACCTGGCAATTGGCTATAACTGGCCAGCGAGGTCTGATGCGATGGTCTGCTGACCAGAAACATGGAAGAGAATGGCAATTGAATGGCATGTATGAAAGACCTTGAAATCCCAAACTTGCACCAAATATCAATGTTGCACAGCCCAAGAATGGCACACCGCGGCACACCTCAGTATATGTCGAGTTGAACACCCCAAATAACGGATGCTTTCTTGCAAAGCAAACTGAAGAAGAACATGCTGGATTCCACTGTAGGTGCGCTTTGAAGTCCTCAATAAAGCATGACAGGTTTGGGGCTGAGTGCTTTCCAGCAAATCTGCAGCAAAGCACAGGTTCAGGTTTGATCTCCAAGTGGCTGGAGTGCCAATGCACACGGCCCAAGTGATGAGTGCATGTTGTTATCGCCATTGTCGTCCATTCTTGTGACCCATTTGCTGGCGTCTCACTATTCAGCGTCAGCACGAGTTCCAACCCGAAACAAATTTTCGCAACCAACCGACCATCGGATACGCGACGGGCTCTCACATGGCTCACTACCAGCCTCTCTTCGCTCCTGATACATATGAGCGATCGAAAGCAAGCTGGTAGAGGAAATCGCACACGTAATTACTCTGCATGCTTTCAGCCAAAACAACAAGAAGCTACTTAGGGCCTCATGGCATCGCTACGAGGAGCAAGGACGCTACTAGGGGCTCCTGGCCGTAGTACTAGGAGCAAGTCACTACTATAGTAGCAGGACGCTACTTTGGAGTTGGAGTTCAGAATTCAGATTCAGCGAAGCCAACCAGTCGGGACACCCAGCTGCTGGCCCGTCCTGTGGCTCTACTGCAGCTTCTTTGGCCAAGGAACGGACCAATTCATCCACCTGCGACCGGAATGTGTGACCCTGTGAGGACGATTCAACGTGCCTGAACGTGCTTGGTATAATAGTATTTGCTCTATTTCCATGTTTTGCTCTATTTCCTGTGCAGATTTGGTGTGTCTTTGGTGTTTCTTTGGTTTCTGTGTTCTTTCTTTCTCCCGTCTTTATGCCATGCATTTCTTTCTCTTTCTTAGCTGATGGGCACTAAACCAGACTAAACCCCGCTGATGGCTCCGCACGTTTAAGATCGATTTCTTCGCGGCCTCTTCTTGGAACAGCAGCTCTTCAACCAGGTGTCTCTTGGGAATATCTCGTGCCGCATTTGAATGCTCAAAACCCTGTTCGAAGTCATCCATTTTCAGGTGTCATGATCGTTGCAACTCCCTCCCTTTCTCCCTCTGTTCTGGCAAGCCAAACCACTTAGACTTTGGTCTCCCTCCCTTTCAATCTCCCTCCTCCTCCCCCCTCTCCTTCGCTCCCTCGCTCCGGCCAGTCCTCCTCTGGCTTTGCTTCAGCCATGGACCACAGTTCTTGCGCCTCAACTGGGTCTAGTCCCCCGGCCACTCGGTCAAGCTCTGAATTTTTTCTGACCAGCTGGTGTGCTCAGCACTCTCCAATACTGTAAGCATACTGAAGCGTCTTGCTCCTAGTAGCGATGCCAGGAGCATACTTTGGGTCCCTGAAGACCATAACAACGCAGGGCCCTGCCGACTCCCTGAAATTGGATCTCGATCTGTCGGCCTGTCGGCCGAAGAAAAAAAGCATGCCGACCTGAAAGCTTCTTTTGTCCAGCTGATAAAAGGTTGGTTGATCCACTCCACAGCGACTACTCAGCGCAAAGAACATTTCAGGACACCCATTAGTTTTGAGCATCCCCCAATATTTGATGCATGAACAACATTTATCTCAAAAATTATCAAATCCAATTGTGGCGGAGTATGCAGAGCTCACCAATCTCACTAAGGCTCTTAGGCCACACTGCATCATTTGTTCCAACTCCTGGCCCTCCGAATGTATGTCCCAGAACTCACAGTGCATAGCCCTCTTTGCATTTACGCTGCCTGTCGAGGCATGTCGAGCTTCAAAAACAGGCTCTGACGATTGCCTCGAACTTGGTGTTTTTGGATCGGCCTAGATCACGTTGCTGGTGACTTCCACAGAGTCTCGACGCTTGACAGATCATTCTAAAGCATGGCTAGCCAGAAACTATCAGAAACCTAACTAAACGTGGCTTTGTACTCTACAGAGTGCTTTGTACTCTTGACAACGAGAAAGAAACTCTGTGCGAAATTGGGGTCCGTCGCATCGCTTTCCGTCGTGATTGGACCTGCAATCTCCGGTCACAGCCACTGGGCGCGCAAAATGGCACTCTGGAAGCCGTCTTCAGAAGCTCCCAAGGCTGTTGCTATACTATGCTGGGAAAGAACCAACTCAATCAACTCCTGTCAACATCTGTCAACAGCCACGAAACACATTTTCCAAACGGCTAGCAAAGTCATCATATTGGCCAAACGTGCTGCCAAATCGCGAAGGTCTCCAACCGAGCGAGAGCCACAGGTCTTTCAGAAAAATGACCTGCGCAGGAGAGCGATGGGGTCTCAAATGCAGCATGTGATGGGGAATGGACGGTCAAAAGTTTCAAGTTCGGGACAAGCCTGCCATGTTTCTTCTGCAGTGTAGCTGGAGCTGGGGCTTGCGGCGTTTGCCCAATAGATTTATAATGACTTTATATATAGCCCAGTCTTTATCACAACAGCTCCCCTTGGAGGAGTCGGCAATATTGTGATTGAGAGTGCAAATGCAGCTGAGAAAAAGTCTATAACTTATAAACATCTTATAACTGTCACTGGTGGATTCTCCATCGACGAGTAGTTCCATTGCCAGGCTACTTGACTAACTAGAATGAACCAAAACGACAAATCAAAATCGTTCGCTTCCTCCAGTTTTCACCTGGCAGCTTTCAACCCCTGGTCTGTCCATGAGGTTCAAATATTGGATCGAGCGCAGCAACGGCGCTTCAGGACTCGGCTGTTCGCTCTGCTCACCTGCTACTGGTGCCCGTTGAAGTTAATACATTTTGCATGTGGGACACTAAACCACCATGGAACGCCGATTTGCAAAAGTCAGCACTTAAGTCAAGACTGCTGGCCTTCCCCATTGTAAACGCTACATACAGTACAAGTGGAACTCCTTACACACCTGTAGCATCTACTAGGTGATTTGACGAACTCGCGCAAAGAACCACACTTTTTTTGATAATTCTCCGTGGTCGATCAGGCCCTTTAAGGGGCTGCTAGACCTTAGTGGAGAAGTGAGACTTCACCACCAGCAAGTTGGAGCTCAAAACTATTCAAAAATACACCTCCACCATGTGTTCACCAGGCGGAGATGCGGCTGCATCAGACGTTTTACTGGCATCACCGACCGCCGGATTGGAAGGTTTGTCCTCAAAAGGCACTGAGGGATTGGGGGTCGAAAGGGATTGCACTGATTTCGCTGGAGATATTGGAGCCGCTTGAACCACCGGCAAAGTATTGGGCTCCGTGGATTTTTGCTTGTCTGCATAGATCTGGCGACATTTGCGCAAGGTCAGGAAAGCACCTGCCAAAAGCGAACATGCTGCCAAGGCAGTACCAATTGCTGCCCACTGGATCTCCGTCAAGCCGAGAAAAGTCTCATCCTCACAGCTCAACCCATCATCGGTGACTTCCTTTCCATCAGGGCAAAAGAAACAAGAACCCTCAAGCGCACTCCAGTACTGGTGAGCAGGACACCAGCGACATTGGTTGTCCTCTGAAAACTGTCCAGCCGGGCACTGCACACACTGGTTGTCCTGAATATACTCGCTTCTCTTGCATGTAGGGGGACAGCTTTGATTGTAGGCGTTGCTGTTCGCGAGCCTGCAAACCTCTACAAATTCCCAAAGCTGACTCGTCCGATTGCTTCGCTGGAACTCGCAATCTTGGGCGACGATCCAAGCGCCAGGCGAGTGGTCTTCTGCCCAAACGGTCAAGCACCGACCGGGGGCAGCCCCGTTGGTGAAGTAGGTTCCAGTATCCCCTTCTTCGGGAGGACGTTCAGTCCACACCTGTTCTGTGTATTGTCCATTCTTTGCTTGTTCAGTTTCACAGGCATGGATTTGAACCGTAGCTTCATTGGGTACGCCAAAGCCGGCCACATCAAGGCACATACCACTCAGCGAGTTTCTGAACATGCCGTACTCGTAAACCCATGCGTGGTCAGTGACGGCTGCACCAAATTCGCACGCATAGAGGCTGGCCGGCGTTTCTGCTGCGACCGCTGGCCAACCCCAAACGTCCAAGCAATATCCACTTGCGGCATGCCGAATGAAATAAGTGCGGGTAGCCGCCAAGGCGAGGCTAACCAAACTAAGATAAGTAAGAAGGTGAAACCACATCGATGCAAAGCCTCGTGTTGGATCTCGAGATCCCTTGAGCCATAAATTGAATCAGCACCAATATGGCTACCTTGTTGCAAATGATCTGTCAGGAACCAGGATGGTCCTCGTTTCAATCCTTTGAATCATCCACGACACAAGTCGACATGTGTTCTATTGTTTTCCTGCCTCGCTGAAGTCCCTCTGGCACCAGCATCAAGTTTCCACCGATCTCACTTTCATCCAGAATCCTTGGAGCATTGGGAATCTGATTGGGGCTGGTCTAGATGACTCCAGATGCTGCACGTCAAAGCTGCCTCGACATCGGTCGCTACCCCTTGAAAGTCGCTGATGATGTGCGCAACAAACAAGCAAGCAAGCAAACAAACCAAAATGCCTGTAAGTTCAGAAATGCATGTTTGATCTTGCAAAGTAAGCTTCATTATGCTTCATTGCATCCCTGAAAGCTGTTTCAAACATTTCGAACTCTTGAACGTCTAGCTCATCAACGCGAACACACCTCACTAGGTCCTTGATTGCAAGTGTTGCATGCAAGTTGTCAAGTTACTGACTCGACTCTATATCTCACTATCAGTCGTTCACCATGGTTCACTGTTGTCCATCCCAATGCCGTCGAAGGACAACGCCACTTGAAGCCGTGGCCATCACCACACGGGACGCAGAACGTCGAATTCGCGCGGCCAGGCTCGGGCCAACATTGGGCCAAAGGCCCAGCGTGGAGCCGCATGTAAATGGGGTCCGAGTCGGTCCCAGCAAGAGTGAGAAACGTATAACCAGTAGCTTCTTGTTGCTAGTAGCGATGGCCTCCAACCTAATAATTAGCGATGGCCTCCACCTAGTAGCTTCTTGCTACCAGTAATATGTACATGTATTAGAACATGTCAAGTAGAAGGCTAGGTTTGCTGGGCTCGGCTCTTCTCTTAACAAATTCAGCAAACTGTACCAGTGAACAACTTCAGGTAGGAAACCCAAGGAAGGCTTTAAAGAATGATGATTCGTGTGCGCAACTAGGCATTCCCCCAGCCAAATCTTTTTGCTGAGAGAAATCTACTCTGCGGCCATGATCCCACGGCGTACACTGCCAGTGGACTCCCAACCTCCCGCTGAGATCCATGCATGCTTCCAAAAGAGCAATGGGGTCAAACCCAAGTGCTGAGCCCAGGCCTGTCGTCAAACTCGACTTTGATCGAGATTGGTGAACGAGGCATCTCCTGTAAGCTCTGCTGCCATTCTTCCTCTCTTCCCCTCCTGGCACCTCTTCATCATCCCCAGCTCCTTGTACGTAGGTGGTGCTTCCCATCTCCACCTCTGGCGAAGCTTCCCGTGAAACACGCTTCGTAGGTGGTGCTTAACAGATGATCGGAGGTATTTCTTGAAGAAACCCTGCAGAAACGACCGAGAGTCTGTTTCGTAGGCGGGTCAAAAGGATGCACCAATTCGATTCACCTTTTCTGCGGTCGCGTGGACGCAAAAGCAACACGAAGCACTATCACTGTCTTCAAAAACCCTCGATCCCACTCAAATACAGTAAACAAATATTGTGCACATCGCAATAAACCACGACCACGAGTCAAATATAGACCTCGGACCCTCCTGGTCCTGGGGCAACCGTCAACACACAATAACAAACTGCGGTCAATTAAAAACACTCAGCGTTTATCAACAGGTTACAAATTTATATAAGATAATTTAAGCAACAAGTCAATGGTAAACAGTTGATGCTACGCTGGGGATGGGGGTGGGGTTGGGTGGGGCATGTTAACGTTCGCTGGCACTTAGGTCATGCAGTTGATGCTACGCTGGGGATGGGGGTGGGGTTGGGTGGTGTTAACGTTCGCTGGCACTTACGTCATGCAGTTGATGGTGGGGCATGTTAACGTTCGCTGGTACTTAGGTCATGCAGTTGATGCTATGTTGGGGATGGGGGTGGGGTTGGGTGGGGCATGTTAACCTTCGCTGG